ACACCAGAAATTGACATATTGTAAACTGACTATACTTCAATAAAAAAAAAAGTATACAAAAAAAAGAAAAGGAAACAAACTTAGTTACTAAAGGGGGCGGTAAGGAGGGACAAATTACAAATATTAACAGATTAGGATTAACAGATACAAATTACTGTACATAAAATAGGTAAGTAGCAAGGATTTACTATATAGCACAAGAAATTATATTCAAGATCTTGTAGCAAAAAAAAATCTTGTAGTAACCTATAATGGAATATAATTTGAAAAAAAACTGAATCACTTTGTTGTACCCCTGAAACTAACACAATAATGTAAAGGAGAAAAAAAAAGAACTCCATAATTAATTGAAATAGTGTTCAAAACGCTACTGCTTGCATGGGCCTAAAAACATTCTCAATAAATGTGATTTACTCTAACCTCTATTCCTTTAAGGATTAGAAAAAAAATTAAAGATGGAATTTTTTCCCCAAATGAACCATAAAATCTGTTTTTAAAAAGTAGAGTTTGCATAAAATTAAAAAATTCTTCCAAGCTCATCACTATACGTATCATTAGAATTTTCCCTTATAACAAATCCTTATTAATATTTAAACTTACAAAATAGTCCATTGCATAGATATGTTGGACTTAATAATGACTATATTTACATATTTCTATACTTTTAAACGTATCAAATTATATTTACAATTTACACAAAATTTCTAAAGTTGTAATGTACGATATGCTACCTGAGACACCTGTGGTTACTAACCACTTGAATTGTGGCTAGTACAAATTTAGATGTGCTGTTAATATAAAATACACGCCAAATATTGAAGATTTTAGAAAGAAAAAAGAATGTAAAAATCTCAATAATTTTTATATTGATTACATTTTGAAATAATATTTTGGCTATACTGGGTTAAATAAAACATTAAAATTAATTGCACGTTTCTTTTTACTTTTTAAAATGTGACTACTAAAATGTTTAAGATTATCCATGTGCCTTGCATATTATTCTCTACTTTTTATGAGACTGACATGAGGCCTACTGTGATAAGAAGACACTAATTTTGTATTTTTAATAGTGGACAGTGCTGTTCTAAAATGTTTTCTGGTCCTGAGAGCCTAATATCAGTCATTTCCCTCTAGAGACTTCATTCCCGCTTTATCTCTGCTCTATGCAAAGACTAACACACAGGAGACATTGAATAATTTGGTCAATTCACATATGGACATGGATGGAGAAGAGGATGCACAGGAACGGCCACGCTGTCTGGCTCTGTCCTTCACTAGAATGGGAGCAACTAGGAAGAAGCTATGGGGCAGGGTTCTGTTAGGAAGTTTCAGGACAACTAACGACAACGTTCACATAACCTGAAAACAAATTATAGCATTTCAAATACAGAGAAACATCAACTTACATGAGCCATGATTTCAGAGTTGCAAGAACTGTCAGTTTTCCTCAAGGGTCATTTACTGGAGCAGCAGACTCCACAGAAGCCAGAACTGGGGGAAGAGCACGAAGTCATGAGGACAAAATTACCTCAGAGTCCCCAGATTTTAAAAACCACACCACTTCTCCATTCCTACATGCAACATCCCTCCACCCCACAACACACAGACAAGTTATGAGAGGTAAGAGGTAGTTTAGACAAATACATGTCCTCCCCTAAACCACAAGAAAATCATTGCACAAGGACAGACACAGAGCAGACTCTCCTACACAGAAACACATGTCCAGACATCTAGCAGACATTTCAGCCCCCCCACCACAGGGAGGCTGATCTGGCCCTAAGAGGCTATACAGATCTGTCCTGTGCAGATCCATCTCCCCCAATTCCCACCTTTCCAACTGAGAAGTGGTTATACCATCTAAACCAGAACTTCCTTGAGACACAAGAATCTGGCTTGCCTCCCTAACCCTGAACATAGGAAATAGTATAGACAAGAATTTCCCAAACATTGCCACACACTGGAATCATCAGCAGATCTTTAAAATATTCTGATGCCTAAAATCCCCCAAACATTCTGATTTAATTAGCATACAGCATGACCCGGGAATCAGGATTTTTAAACCACTCCCCAGGTGATCGTAATAGGCAAGTCTGGTAATCAAACTTTTCTATCCATCAGAATCACACCTGGAAGACTTATTACAATTCAGTTTGCAGGGCCCTACTCCTAAAGTTTGGCATTTACTAGGTTTGGGGTTGGACTTGAGAATTTGCTTTTGAAAATGTTCTCAGGTGATGCTGATGCTGCTGGTCCAAATGCGACAATTGGAGAACCACCTGCACAGACCATGCCTAGCAGTCTTTATAATAGCAAAACTGTGCTTGTACACTGGGACCCCTTCCTCCAGGCTGAACTATCCTTCCCAGAATCCTCAGAGCTCACTGTTCATCATTTTTTAGTTAAGAATCATCAATACTGCCTACATGGCCTCATTTACCAACCCAATTCTCTTGGTATCCAGGCTTGGGAAAGGTCAATTTGTAAAACCTGAGCACGGATAATTCTCTAGAAAGTAGGAATAACCCACTAGTTAAAACTCACTAGTAACTAAGGAGATACATTTAAAGAAATTGGATTAGCAGATTTAAAAAACTGATGATACCTCATATTACTAAGGCTGTGGGGAAATGGACACTCCAGGTATGATGCAGAAAGAACGAAATGATTTGTGGAAAATGTTCATAATAGGACAAATAAAGCCAGAAAGAATGTAAATATCCTTCATCAAGGTTAAATAAATTATCATGCATTCAAACAACAGAAAAGTAAACACTCACTAAAAATAAAGGTAAAATTCTTATTTGATGTCATGGAAAGATGGTCACTACATATTGCTGGGAGGAAAACATAGGTTAGAACATAGTATTGTAATGAGATTCTGTTTTTGGCAGGAAAACTACATAGACAAATATATGCATGTACATAAAAGAGTCTGAATGGGCTTGGAATAAAGTTTTATTGTGTTACCGCTACTGGATGGTATCCCAGGTGTTCTTTAGTTTGATCTTCTCTGGCGTCTCCTAATTTTTTAATCAAAAACTTATTTGTATCACTTACACCTGTACATAAATTAAAAACAGCTCTGCAAGGAATACCACAAAAAGCCCCAACAATTCCATCCCTGCTACCTTTTCCCCCACCCTCCAAATCAAGAGTCAATAATTTACACTTCTTTTAGCTATTCCTTTTGGTATTTTGACACCATATATTCAAATAACATGCTAATATTGCTACTTCTGAATTTTCAGTTGTAATCATTATCTAGTGACTTCCTACTATGGAAGGCATAGTTTTAGCTAACTTTTATCCACCCATCTTCCACCTCACATGTGCATAGTTGCATCTCCCTATCCTTCCAATGTGGTTTTGTTCTATTTCAGGGTAAATGGATATTCAGTTTCTATTATTATAACTAGGTAAATACCATTACCAACTGAGTTATATAGTATAATCACATTATTTTGCCTTCCTTGCCTAGGTCTACTTCTATGAGGTTAAAATAATTGTTTTTTGAGAGGGGAGGGTACAGCTCACTCACAGAGCACATGCTTAGCATGCACAAAGTCCTGGGCTCAATCCCCAGTACCTCCATTAATAAACAAGAAAACAAACCTAATTCCCCACCCCCAATTTTTTTTTAATTTTTTTTTTTTTAGATTTTTAACCGATTAAAGTTAAATAGATCAACAGATGGGGGAGAAAAATATCTTAATATTTCAATTCTGAGATTTTAAAACTAATTTTAAATTATAATTAGATCTGTCAATTTAATTGCCATTTCTATCTAAAGAATTATAAATACTTGGAAGATTTGTAAAACCAAAAGGGGATCACTGGGACTTCACCTTTCTCCATACATCCATGAGAGTATTACAAAATCAAGAGTACTGAATTCCTCTCTTAAATTAAGAACTAGAGGTCTTGGTTTCTTTCAAATTTTCAGTTATTCCTATCCTATTCTGAAATAAAGCCATATATAAAACCACAAATGCTATAAAAATATTTTGAGAAAATATGCTCTAAATATTAATAGTGATTATTTCTGGATGTTGGGACTATAAATAATTCTAATTTTCTTCTCTTTTGGGTTCCTCAGTTACTAAATATGTCACAAGCCTGCATTAACTCCATCATCAGAAATATGTTTTTACAAAAGCTATTCCCATGAAAAAGAATTTTTTAATGAGTTAGGGAGATAGGGTACCTTACAGTTATTAAGAAAATAGGCCTGCACAAGTGGTAACAACGGGGAAGTTAATGTGACTGAAAAAATAATTCTTACCAATTCTTGAATATTGTATTTCATTAATACCCAGAGATCACAATGCTGGTTCATGATATTTCCAAAGTGATTAAGAGACAGTATGCACAGCAGAAAGAAAAAAAATGCTTATTTCACAGCAGCTCCTCAATAACTTGCGTTAACCCCTCCTGCACTCCAATGAATAACCAGTTATTAAATCCTTGCAAAATATCTTATTAATTCTTACCTTAGTGTTCAGGATACATACGTAACAATTTCTTAAATTTTTTTATCGAGAACAAAAAATACTTCTCAACATTACATTATATACTTTTTTCTTATGACTCTTCATAAACATAATCTTTATTATCGCATAACATTCCATCACATGGCTAGAGTATGAGTTACTCAACCATTTTCAAATTGCTAGATACTAATTTTTTAAGATTACCCCAAAAGTCACTCCCAGTTATTCCAGACTTGGATTCTAGACCAGTGAGAATCAATCCTGTTGGGTCTTAAACAACTGATCATATCATGAAATGATAGACTTCCTCCTCCAAACTACCCACTGATAAATATACACAATACTTCTGTATATATCTTGAGATTTTTCTTGTCCTGAAAAACCCATGGACAGAGTCCAAAGATTTCATGTTAAGAATCCGTATTCTGATCCACTTAAGCATCTGATTCATCTTCCTGCTTGCAAGCATCCATCATAATTAACTCCATATTTTCATTATTCTTGGGAACACAGTGAGTTAACAGGGAATGACTAAGAATCATCATTAATAGCTAGAGTTAATATTAATTAAGCACTCTTCTAATGTGCCAGGTAATCATCTAAGGGGTTTAACAAATATTAAGGTAATCTTCAAAACAACCCTGTAAAGTATATACTATTATAATTCCGATCTTACATATGAAGAAAGTGCAGCACAGAAAGACTGCCCAAACTCACTCAGATTTAAGTGCAGTCAAGATTCAAATCCCCTTAATTTAGGTTCAAAATTCTTAACCACAACATACACCCCTCTCAGTCTATCCAAAGACATACCCTAAACAAACTCATGATCTGTATATTACAAATTTTCAGTTACAAGATAAATAAGTTCTGAAGACCTAATATACAGCATGGTTAGTATAGATGATGATGATGATGATGATGATAATAATAATAATAATAATAAATTATATACTTTAAATTTCTGGAGAGTATACCTTAAGTATTCTTGTCAAGGGAGGTGATGGATATGTTAATTAGTTGATGTGGTAAGCATTCCATTCCACAATGTATACCTGTATCAAAATGTTCATTTGTCAAAAATAAACAAAATAAACTCATGCTGCCAAACCTCTAGCCACATTGGACTGGTCCCCCAAATTTCCACCAATGGATTCCCTTGGGGAAAAAAAAAATCCCCACTCATACTCTGGCATAATTAAAGCTGCCTAAAACCTTTAACAACTCCTTAACAAGTCACAACCGAAAACAAAGCATGAACATTAACCTCCAACAAGGCCATTTCCACCGTTAGAATCCTTAGGAAAAACTGATCACAGAGCAACTGAATCTATAGCACATGGTTAACTGTAGAACTGCATTAAGTAGGCACTAGAAAGTGGAATCTATAAATAAGGGAGGAAAATACTAAGGCCCAAATCAGTAAGTAGATCATTCCTTAGGCCAGACATTCTAAAGGAAGAAATTTAAAAAAAAAATCTCGGGTCCGAAAATCAAAGCATTTCACAGAAACAAAGAAGCAGCACAAACTCACAAAGAACCTGGCTTTTGGAGGCGCAGCGGCGATTCGTTTCACTTCTTAGACCTTCTGTGGAGACCGGCAGGGCTGGGGAAGGAAACAGGGTTCATTACAACGCAGGCTTTTCGTGACTCCGTCAAAATCCACCCTCCACGCCCCCTTGACTCGCTACCCACCACCTGCAGCCACAAATGGAAGCGAGAAGGCGGGGATACGGGCCGCGGTCACCCGTGTCCGGGTCTGCAGCTCTGCGTACGCGGTAGTTCGGACACCACAACCGCCCACCCCCGGGGCGGCCCACCGCGTCTCCGTAGGAGACTTTCGTTCCGAGGCTCCACCTATGACTTCCCCCTTAGGCCTTTTCTCCAAGGCCGGGCCTCAGCGGCTGAGGCCAGGAAGGTGGTACGCGGGACCTCAGCGTCTCGCATTACAGAATAGGCCGGGGCGGCGCCCAGTTACGGCCGCACGAGCTTAATCCCCGCGCAACCCGGGCTCAGAACTGCAGGCCCTCACTCCGGACCAAACGCCTGGTGACCTGAGACAGAAGACTCACCCTCGACCTGGTCCGCAAAACCTGGCCCGACCCGCGCTCGATTCCTTCAAAACTGCAGCGGCCACCACGGAGCTTCCCTCACAGCCCTCAAGCTCCAGGCTCCAAGGACCCCCGGCGCTAAGTGTGAGCCGCCGAAATTCCGCAGAGTGCCTTCTAGGTCCCAAGTGCGCAGGCGCGCACGGGGCGGTGAGGGGGGAGGGGCAGGTCCCTCGGCTCCTCAGGAAGGGCTTGGAGACGCGAAGGGGAGCTAGAGCCCCGCGGGACGGGGCGGGCAGGGAAGCAACGCTCCCTAGCAGGCCGGATCCTCGCCTGTAAAGGTGGCCTCCTGACTAATTGGCGCTATGGAGGATAATCCAGGCTGCTCCTCTGTTGGAATTGTAATCCAAAATCAGACAAGACACCAGCTTTTCTCATTTGGGTTCTTGGCTCCGCAACCGGCGTAAGCTCGGAGCACCGATCCCCTCCCCAAGCCCAGCGCTCAGGGTCCTGGGAGGTATTGTTTCTGTCCCCAGTGCCCAAGCGCGCAGGTGGAGGGCGTAGAACCTGGGGTTCTCCAGCGAGCTGAAGAAAGGCTCTTGGGGCCACGCACCCTGAGGGCGGCGGGGTGGGAGTGTTGCAAGAAAATGGAGCCCGAGATCGTGCCCTAGGCTTCCGGCAAGTTTCTGGGGTGCACCCTGCTGAGTAAGAATCCTTAGCTTCCTGCAGGGAAGAATTCAAGAGTGAGCCATAGTAGAGTGAAAGTAGATTTATTCAGGGAGATACACGCTCCACAGACAGAGTTTGGGCCACTTCAAAAGGAAAGAGGGAGAGAGAGAGGGGAAGCCCTGAGAGGGACTGGGTTGTTAGTTTTTATGAGCCGGGTAATTTCATATGCTAATAAGTGGGAGGGTTATTCCAACTATTTTGTGGAGGGGTGGGGATTTGGGGGGAATTGAGCCACCACCCACTTTTTGATCTTTTATAGCCAGCCGGGGAACTGTCATGGTGCCTGCGGGTGTGTTATTTAGTATGCTAATATATTACAATAAGGGTCCACTGGAAGTCAAATCTTCCACCATCTTGGCTGTAACGAGTTTATGTACTATCATCAATTTCTGTGTCATTCTTTTAATGGTTGTGCCCTGCCCCCTTCCCTCCTGTCTCAAGAGAAGTAAGGGGGTTGGTATAAAGAGATTGGAGCCAGAATTCCAAGTTGGTCTTAAGTGTCCAGATCTTTAGACTTAATGATGACCCTGACTGTGATATCCTAGTGCCCCGAGGAGGGTCCCTGTGGCGTTTGCTGATGGACTGGTGTGTGTGGACAGGATTGTGTTTGGATGGTGGTGTTTCTGGAATGTGTGCCACTCCTTTGGGTGCTGGACTGAAAGGACGCCACAGAGAAGATTGCCTGCTATTATGCTGGACTGTGACACTAGATTTAGGGGTGTCCCGGGATGTTGAAGAGGAAGAAATTTTCTTCTACCCTTCTTAGTTCTTCTGGCTGATCTACAAAATAAGTCGACATGAGACTGATTAAAAGAAAATCAAACAAAAATTTAATAAACTGGTCACATAGGAGAGACTCAGGAAAACTGAGTAACTCACCAAAATGGCTGAAGCCTGTCAGCTAAAGACCAAAGAGGATGTTGGGGGTAGTGGTTTGGGACTTCAAAGGGGAGGAAAGCAATCCACATGGAGATGAAAAGCAAGTGTTTGGTGAACAAATGTTTGCTAGGCTACACAGAAACAATGAGACACAGAATAGTTTCCATTCCAGGCCCCACTAAGAGTTTCCCCATCACATTTAGCCCATATTCTTTGCAGATGTCTCTATTGATAGCTCTATTCCTGGAACAGCCCTTTATCTAAAATCTTTAGGCAGCTAAGTGGGAGGTAAAAAGAAAGACTTCCTGAGTCTTATGTTTCTTCAAAATAATCAGCCTAACTAGTTTATACTGTAAAGTACAGGGAACTTTATTCAATATCTTGTAGTAACCTACAATGAAAAAGAATATAAAAATGAATATATGTATCTATATGTATGACAATTATGCTGTACTCCAGAAATTGACACAACGTTGTAACACTGAAATGACAAAAATAATACATACATAAAAAATAATAATCAGCCTAAGTTAATCCTCATGCCAAAAAGACACATTTTGTGGGGCAAATTTTGCTCCCCTACAGTGGCTTCCTTTGTGAAGTGCCAGAGACTGTGTATATCATGAAGGTGGCTGTGCCCTGAAGGAAACCAGAGTATGTCACCCAAAACATGCATCTTTGAGCTGAGGGCAATTTAGAAGCATTAAAGGCAAGAAAAGCTCTCTACCCTCTCCCATTTCTGCATAAATGCAGGATATAAATTCTCCTTTATGTGATGCCAACTGCTGCCTGCAGAGGCCCTGTGACCCCCATTCCTGGGCTCTCAGATGTCTGCCTGCAATCCCTCAAAAACAAAGTACACCCTTTTCTGACTTGTATTTGCCCTAGCAGAATTAAATAGTCCTGGGAAGTGGCTAACCTCCCCATAGCTCAGGCTGACTTGTCTCAGCCGTTTCCTCCTTTTGAGTTGTAAATGCCACCACTTGCCTTATACCAAAGCACCGTCTCACTTATAGCCAATCAATAATCTGTTCCCCTGTCCCTTTGTGTGCACAGCTCCTTCCTCAATAAAAGACCCTGCATGTTCACCCTCAGTGCTCACACAGGCACCTCTCCTCTGTGGCCGGCTGTTTCCTGTAGCAGCTATCTATTAAACTTTTCCTTTGTTTCTCAAACTTTCCTTTGTCTCTCAAACTTTCCTTTGTCTTTGTTAAGTTCTTTTACAGCCCATGACACTGGCCTGTTGTGTGCCCCAACATTTTACTGGAGGACAACTCTAGACTTTTAGCCCATATATAGCCCCTAAGGAATCTGCAAATAAACACTCCTTTAGTTTCCTCCAACTTGCCAACCCTGGAGTCCTAAAATTGTTTTTCTTTACCCTATCATTTCTCTATAAATTCATGTTCCTTGTCAAAGATGCTATATAAGGTGGAGTTCAAGGCCACCAGTTTGCATTACTCTCTTTAAAGTTTCTCCCATATAACATGCGCACACAAGTTAATAAATTGTTTTTCTCCTATTAATCTGTTAAAGAGCTGCATTATAGGAGAGGATGGTCACGTCCCAGGTCTTGGGTGAGTCTCTGGCACATGCTGCCAAGTGAGGGTCCTTGGCTTCCCGCAGGAAAGAATTCAAGAGTGAGCCAAATAAAGTGAAAGCAAGTTTATTTAGAGAAATATACATTCCACAGACGGAATGTGGTCCACCTCAGAAAGGAGAGCAGCCCTGGGGTGCAACGGGGTTGTTTTTATGGGCTAGGTAATTTCATATGCTAACAAGTGGGAGGGTTATTCCAACTATTTGGGGGAAGGGGCAGGGATTTCCAGGAATTAGGCCATTGCCCACTTTTGGACCTTTTGTGGACAGCCTTGGAACTGTCGTGGCACCTGTGGCTGTCATTTAGCATCTATTATATTACAGTGAGTATATGATGAGGCTCAAAGACTACTGGAAGTTGAATCTTCCATTATATTAAGCCTAGTCGGTGGTAACCAGTATTTGTCCTATTCTCAATGGCTGTCATTCTTTTAGTGGTTATGTCCTGCCCCCTTCCCTCCTGTCTTAGCCCCCCGCTAAGAGACTAAGATGGCTAGAGGTAAGATTTTTCCTCTCTTACAGCCTTATTGTGTGTTATTTCTGGGATGGTTTTGATAGGCCAGCACTTCTAGTTCTTGCTTTCCAGCGGCACAGTGTTTGTGGGTCACTGTGCTACTGGGTGTTGAGATTTTGATGATCAACATCTTGGCCATTAAGTGTGCCCTCAGATATGTGGTGCTGTTGTTACCAAGGCTGTCCCCCAGAATCATACCCCTGCTCCTTCCTCAAATAGAAAGCAACTATTCTTATCTCAGGAGGAAAGCTGCAAAAAGAAAAAAAAAAAAGAACAAGTTAGAAAGAACTAGGCCCAAGATGGTGGAAGATTTGACTTCCAGTAGACATTAAGCATAATTATACACTCATTGTAATACATTAGCATGCTCAATAACACAACCACCAGTGCCATGACAGTGGAAATTGTCGTGACAACTACTGAAAAAGCCCATAAAAGAACTGAAAAGGAAAGCATCAGTTCCAGGTACAAACTACAAACATGTCCTCAGATAACATAAATATTTCCCCCACTCTTTCCAATTCCTTGCCCTTTACCTCCACCCTCCTATGTATTTGGTGTCTCCACCGGATTTCGGTTGAGAAGTTGATTTGGAAACCGGGTTCCCAATTCTCCATTCTTTAGCCATTGAATAAAGCTTGTGCTTTTCCAGTCTCAGCATTGTTTTCATTATTGGCTGCACTAATCTGACTGGAAAAAGAACGTCCCTAGTCGAGTCTTGGCCTGGGCTAGGACCCTGGCATGAGTCCAGTTGATAAATTCGGTAACACTGTGGCTGTTGGATGAGTAATTACAGGCAAAAGCAACATTAGAAAGGAAGAGGCAAGTTATCATTATTACTGAGTCATAGAATTGTCCCGAGTATTTTTGATGCAGGAAAATCAGATGTCGGGTGTGAGGAAGGCCATGTCCCAGGTTTCGGTTGAGCCCCTGGGACGTGCCCTGCCAAGTGTGGGTCCTTGGCTTCGTGCAGGAGAATTCAAGAGCCAGCCACCGTTGAGTAAAGGTAGATTTATTTAGAGATACATCAAAAGGCAAGAGAAAGGCCACGAGGTGTAGGGGTTGGGTGCTTAGATTAGAGTAAAAGTAGGTACACACTCCATAGACAGAGTGTGGGCCATCTCCGAGGAAGGAGAGAGAGGGGGTGACCACGAGGCGCCGTGTTGCCAGTTTTTTTGGGCTCAGTGGTTTCATATGCTAGTAAGTGGAAAGACCAGTCTAACTAACCTGGGGAAGGGGCTGGGATTCCCAGGAAGTCGGCCATTTTCCACTCTTTACCCTTTTGTGGTTAGCCTTGGGATGGTCATAGCTCCTGTGGGCATGTTATTCACCATGTTAATTTATTACAATCGGTGTATAGTGAAACTCAAGGTCTACTAGAAGTCAAATCTCCCACCATCTTGAGCCTCAAGGCCTTCTGGGCGTTGAATCTTTTGCTATTCTGGTGTTAATTGTTGTATTATTCCTTGGATGGCTGTGCCCTGCCCCTTTCCCATCTCATTCTGATGAAATTGTCACATATTGAAGTATAGGGAAGTCATTCTGGCATATACATGATTTAACTCATATTTTATGCTAACTAAAACAGCCTGTTTGGGGCCTATCAAATATACATTGTACGTCTACTTTGTTAAAGGAAAGGGGCAATGATACGGAAGTAAAGAATGTCCACATTAAAAATAAAGATTTTAATCCCTTCCTGGGATGCTGATTCTGGTACTCCTTCTTCTTCAATGATAAGACTCCCCTCCCAGGTGCCAAAGCCATACTGACTCACTATGTACATGCTGATTTGTTGTTGTTGTTTTGAAACCTTGAAAGAATGTATCCCTGACTTTTTTGATGTTCTGTGTTCTGACAGGATATAAAACTCTGCTGAAAATCATGCTTCTCCAGAGCAGTTCCTTGGATCTATCTAGGGCTGTCTCCTAGAATATAATTCTACGTTTGGCTCAAACAAAACTATTTCCTATTCCTATTATAGATTGTTTATTGATTATTTCTGTGGACAATGTAATCAGAAAGTTGAAATTAATAGGACTTCATAAAACAAAAGAGAAGGGCATTTTATTTTCTCCCATAAATGCAATTGCAATATTTTTCTGTGGGTGAGGGTTTTTTCCCCCAACCCTAGATGAAATGTTAGATGAATTCAGTGTCTTCAATCACTCTTTATAATAAAAGATACTTTGAACACTTTAAAGTTAAAATTAGTCTCATTTTAGTAGTTAAAAATATCTTCAGTGTCCACTGAAAAAAAATACACAGAGCCTAGAAATTGAGAACTGTTTTATTCAGGGCATTACTGAGGAATATAGCCTCTCAGATAGCTCTGAGCAACTGTTCCAAAAAGGTAAAGGAGGAGACAAGATGTATAAGTTTTTGCTGGAAGAAAAAAAATAAGCATGTAGACATGTAGTCAAACATTGAAGGATTACTGCTAATCACAAAAATGAGACATCTCAAGTTAATGATTTTAGTACTTTTCTGTGCATGGGAAGATGCAAGACTCTGGGCTCATGGAAATTATTCCTTAGATATGCATCCTAACTTTCTAAGGCCAGTATCCTATTTTTTCTCCATCCTGAATTCTCCTCAGGGCACACATTCAGGGGTGGATACAGTGAGAAGTGGATTGATGGTGGGAAACATTTGTTTACTGAAATGGCAGGCAACATTTTTTTGTTCACATTAGCAATAAAAATGTGCAGTGTAATTATCAATACTTCATTTGAAGCAAAAAATAAAAACAGCACATTTCTACCTTCTTCCTCCTTGACCACCACCAAATATGGTTATATCTCAATTATTGGTTATGTGAATATATGGTACTTATATACTAATTATGTAAACTTTTCATTTAAAACTAAGTTCATTTTTTTCTTAGATATATTTTATTAAGGATTTATTTAATTAGTTTTCTTGTACCTTTCTCTACTTTTTAGAGATGTTCCAAAAGATATGTTCAATGTCCACTGGTGTCTTTTTCCCCAATGATTCAAATACCCAATTAGAATCTCTCAGTCCTCCGTTATGTGGCTCCAATTAGACTGTACACTTACCATGAAGCTTACTTTCATTGTTTTCCTGAATTGGATTTCTGTTTCCTGGAATTAAGTTAATTTTTGCTAATTTTTCAATATTGCTCAGGATCTTTTTCCAACAGCTTCCTTAAGATGCATGTGTTAGAGATAAATTTCTGACTCTTTTCATATTTGGAAATGTCTTTCTTCTAACTCATATTTTGCTAATATTCAGAATTTAGAAACATCACTTCAAAGTTTTCTGCTATCTAATGATATCAAGTTAGTGCCCATTGTTTTCTGTACCTTTGTATGTAATCTTATGTCTTCCTCCCATTCACCCCCAATACTTACTATTTATAGCACCAATGTACTGAAATGTCATTATTTATCTTGTGGATTTTTAAACATTTTTTATGCTACATATAGGTAAGCACTTTCAGTCTATAGGATCTAGGTCTGAGAATTTCTCTTATATTTTTGTTTCTTGACAGTCTTCAGTATTTCAGGTTTTTTTGTTTTCTTCCAGGAATGTGTATTTCAGAGAAGGGCTTATGAGTTGTGTCTAAGTTTTCCTTCTTCATAGATTTCTGTTCTTTTCACATGTGCAGTATAATTTCTGATCTCTCATAAAGTAATTGTAGTTGTTTAAAGTTTATTTCTAATTTTTGCTCTTAATGTCCAAATCAAATCCTTTTTTAAAAAAATTGAATTATATCTGGATTTGGGTCCGCTTTAGCTCCTGTCATTAGGTCGAGCCATCACTAGGAGGGCAGTTGGTACAAGATGGTGAGACAGACTCCAAGAACTGGGACGTCAGGAATCTATAAAAAGGAAGGCTCGCGGACCCTCCCTACTGTTATTGAGATCATTGCCCAGAACCATACCCCTGCTCCTCCCGTGAATGGAAGCTACCTCGGCAGGCTTCTGTTGCAGAACCAAACCTCAAAAGGAGGAAACCAAATAGAAAAGGAAGATGCAGCTGTAACTTGTTGAAGTCACCGTCTTGATCTCTGGTGAACCTAAGTCTCGTTATAGTCTCCCTGGAATACATTAGCGCGCTCAGTGTCACACCCATCAGCGGCCCTAACAGGAAACACCTGACAATAGAGAAGGATGAAAACGAGGTGGGACCCCAGTTCCTGGGAGAACCCCGCCTTTTCCCAGAAAACCAATACCAAGGCCTCCCCCTCATTAACCCTACCTTTCCAGTTCTTACCTTGCAGTGTTCCAGAGGAGAAGCTGATTGGCCAAGGCACTTTCCGCTTCTCCATTCTCTGGCCGTTGACTACAGCTTGTGCTCTGACTCCCTTGGGATCGATTTCCTTACTGCCAAGGCAGGGGGCTCCGGCTGCGCTAGGGCCCAAAAGGCGGATCCGTAGGACCAATTCGGTAAGACTCCCTCTCAACGCAAGTGCTGTTTTTCCTCTCCTCCCGTCCCTTCTGACAACGCTGGCGACCGTGCGCTCAAGGCTGCCTTCACCACCCCGCCCGGCTGCTAAGCGGCAGGTCCCCTAGGCTCTGGGGAGCAGGAGAGACCTTGGTGGTTGGCAGGTGCAGATGATGGTTGGGTCCCGTGCTGTGGGGAAGGGCTTGTGGCCTGCGTCTTCCAGTGGTCCAGCAGATACATAGAAGGATGGATGAATACACGGATGGATTGGTGGGGCTCTCAAGAGTGCAGGAAAGCCCTACCAGTCTTCCAGGCCAGGCTTCCCAAGCAGGATGTGAGGAGCCGGCAACGGGAGGCCAGGGGCAGGTTGAGGGCCTCGAGTGAAAGAATGGCGGTGAGAAGGGGCTTTCAACCGACTCCTGTAAGGCACTGGACTAGGCAGAGAACCCGCCCAACGTGGCACCAGGGCATGGGCGGCCTCTGCCCAGGTCTATGGCTCTCGAGGAGGATGGAGGGAAGCAGGGAGAAGGAGCTGGGTGGGGCAGTGATGTTCAACCGACACGACGATCATTTCGAGCGGGGATTCAGGGATCTTCATCGCCGCTCACCGCACCGCATATTATGCCCCCTCTCCCCACAGTTGGCACTAGCTTCACACACCTTGATCTGGATTGAGGTCCTCTTTTCGTCCCGCCACCAGGTGCAGACATCACCGGGGGCGGCAGTGGGTCCAAGATGGCAACAGACTCTAAGATATGGGTTGTCAGGAACTCGAGGAGAGGAAGACTGGCGCTGCCTCTCTATGTCCCACCATCAACCTCTGTCTTCTGCCTTTCCTCCGACAGCACAGCTGCCAGTTAAAGCCCGTGCTCCAACTGCGCATGCGCGAGACGAGATCTGTGGGCGGAGCCGGTTGACTTCACAATGACCTGCAGGATTGCTGAGGGTTAGGTCCATTAGGTTCTGGGGGTCGGGAGCGGCCTTTGGCGGTTGGCAGGTACGGGTGAAGGCTGTGTCTCGCACTCCAGGAAGGGTCTGTGGCTTGTGACTTCCAGTAGTTCAGTGGAGGGAGGGAGGGAGGGAGGGATGGGATGAAAGAAATTTTCACACTGAGGTATGGCGAAGTCCTTCTGGCTCATACATAATTTGGAAGCTAGCCAGAACAGCCTGTTTGGTGGCCTATTAAACAGACATTGTGCATCTGCTCTGTTCAATAAAGAAAAGGGTGGGTGCGTTGTCCACCAGGAAAAAAAAAAAGTCCGTTTTAAAGCTCCAGATAAATGCCTCCCTCCCTTACTGGGACACCAGGACTAGGACTCCTTCGATGACGAAGCTCCCTAACCAGGTGCCAAGGCCATACTGACTGTCTAGGTGCTAATCTGTCTTTTTGGAAACCTTGAAGGAATACACCCCTGTCGTATTTGATGTTCTGTGTTCTGACAAGATAGAAAACTGCTGAAAATCATGCTTCTCCAGAGTAGCTCCTCAGAGATACCTGAGAGGCTATCTGCTAGGCTATAGCTCTCAGTTTGGCTCAAATGACTCTTTTCTATTCCAAGTATAGATAGTTTAGTGATGATTTCCATCGACAGATGGATGTATGGGTAAAAGGAAAGATGGATTGATGGGTGAATAGATGGGTGGCTTGTTGGGGCTACCAAAAGTGGAGGCAAGCCCTGCCAGCACAGGGTTATCAAGCAGGACTGGGGTGGAGCACAGTGGGGAGAAGTTGGGGGCTAGGGAGGAAGAACCGAGGTGAGAAAGGGCCTTCAATAGATTCCTGCAATGCACTGGGAAAAGCAAGGACACCCCACCCAGTGTGGCAACAGGGCATAAGCCTCTTCTTCTGTCTGGGTCAGTGGATTTTCGGGTGACATGACCATAGTTTGGGCAGGGACTCTGGGATGTTCAGCACCCCAACTTCATCAGGTCACATCCTTCGTCCCATATGACACCATTCCCACCCACCCTGATCCAGATTTTGGGTCCACAGAGGTGCCCCACATGTCTTTGTCTAGCCACCAGCCAGGTTCAGCAAACACAGGCAAACATGGCAGCAGGCACCCAGAGATCTAGGATGTCCATAATGTGATGCAGGAGAACTACCCCATTCCTACCTCCCACCATCTCCCATTGGTCCTCTTCCCCCCTTGATCTTCTGACAACCTACCTTGCCAGAGTTGATGCCTGCACTCCAACTGCCCAGTGGGGCCCAAGGAGAGCTCCTGCCTCCCCATTTCCCAACGCTGTGGCTAAAGGATTTGTCCCTGGGGTCCTGGCTAGCTCTTTTGCCCTCTGCCGGTAGTCATTTCTCCACTAAGGGCTTAGCCTAGGTCCTCCAGTTGGTCCTTTGCATGGATGGATGGATGGATGGATGGATGGACAGACAGATGGATGGATGAAACAACAGATACATGACTGGCTGGCTGAATGTTCAGATGGAAAAAAGGATGGATGGATGTGTAGTTGAGGCTCCCGAGAGCTGAGGAAGGCGGGGCCTGGCCAAGCTGAACCAGGCAGGATCAAGAGCCTAGTGGTGATATTCCTCCCTTAGGTCAGCCAGGAGGTTGTGCCCGGGGCTATATCAGGAGACTGCCCGGTGACCCTGAGGTGGGACTTTAGGATGAACATAGTGTGAGGCAGTAGAACAAGGCTGTCTCCCCATTCCTACCTCCCACCATCACCCACCATCTCTTCTCCCCTTCTTTTACTGTAGAAATTTTTATTGTTGAAATGTCTTCTGCAGCTTTTTGTTGTGTTTTGTTGTATAACATCATTCTAAGTAGGGCTAGCATTCCCTCATTGACTTTCTTTTTCTTTTCCAGAGTTCAGTTCACTGCCTATTCTTAAATTTCTACTTTTCCCCATGAATTTCAAAGTCATCTTAATTTTAAAAAAAAAAGCTGCTGGTATTTTTATGTGAACCTCATTAAATTAATAAAATGAGTTATGGAGGATTTTTATGAACTGAATTTTCGCTTCCAAGATTATGGCACATCTTTCCATTTGTTGAAATCTTCTTTTATGTCCTTCAGTGGTAATATCCTCATGTTTTGCACATTTCTTACACTTATTTCAAGGCATTTTATCTTACTGGTTGCTTACTGCAAATCATATTTTCTTTCATTAACTCTTTCAGTTGGTTGTCTTTTATATGTCTTCAGATTTTCATTTCTTAATTTAGTACTCAAGTTTTTTTTAGTATTCTTATCATATAAGTGTAAATGCAAATTAACTTCTGTTACAGAAAGGATCTCTGAGAGAAGAAATATGCTTTATTACATTCAAAATGCACTGTGGCCTGGAGAAAACTGGAATAAATTAGCAGACAGTCTGCTCTAGGCTTCCTTATGAATGGTGTAAACTTAAACAGGCTCCTTAAAGAGGTTTTCTTTATTTTTTCACATGGGGTCTGATGTCTTTAAATTTATGTCTTTCATCTATTAATAATTTTCATACAGATCTGTAAAATTTCCCCCATTCGTAATACAAAAAAATTTAATATTACCCCACAGGTAACTGAGGAGGAGCTGTTAAGTTTTTTAAAAATCTTTTTTTCTCTCTGCTTCAGTTTTGGACAATTTCTATTGATGTATTGACTCTTTTGTCATTTCCAATGTGATGGCAAGCCCATTCAGTAGTATTTTTTTCAGAGATGGCAGCTTTAATTCTATAATTTCATTTGGTTCTTTTTAATACATTTTCTTTCTCTCTTATTTGTTCGTTCATTAAATTTCACAACCTTGAGCATAATTATAATAAGTGTTTTCAAAAGCCTTATCTGCTAATTCTGGCAGATGGGCTCTTCTGGGGTAGATTTCCACTGCCTTTTCAACTGCCTTTTAAGTACAAGCAGTAATTTCTTGTTTTTACCTTTATCGAGTAATTTTGTATTATATCCTTGACAATGTTAATGATAGTTGTAAAGACTCTGGATTTTGTTATATTCACAAAGGATGTTGAGTTTTTAGTTTTTTGGTAGAACTTTGTTAGATGTGAACTCAAAACTGTCTCTATTTTGGTATCAAAAACTGAAATCTCTATTCAATTCTTTAGCTTAAGCAGGACTGCACGGAGTCTGCCCCACACATGCACAGTTCCGGAGTCACCCAGAGAGCTGAATATGGTTTATGCAAAGATTTGCCCCCATCCCAACTCTCCCCTTTGTGAAATTCTCCTTTTTCCTTTCCTCCCCACTATTTTCCAGTTGCCGTAGGCCCCCTGACAAGCCTCTGGTTCTTCAAGCCAGTTATAATTGCGGTTTAGCTGTCCTGTGTGGCACTGCCTGGGACCTTCCCTGAGGCAAAAAGGTAATTATTTAATTTTAGAATACCAAGCAATCTTGTCTGATAATTGTTAATTATTTCATGCATTCTCAACTAGGTGAGGATACCCTGAAAGGGGCAGAAATTGGTTCTTGGGGTGTAAAAAAATATATATTTTAGATGGCTTGTGGTTTGTGGCCCTCCAAAGGACCACAGTACATTAACAGGTACATATCTGTACTATTAAAATTTCATGGAGATAAGGGTGAGAATTGAGGGGAAATAGCTAAGGAGGCTTCTGGAGGAATAATGAAAGATTGAGAAAAAATGAATTAATTCATACTTTATTATAAGTAGGTTCTTTAAGATTTTCTATGAACACAATCACATCTGTAAATCATGACACCTTTATCTTTCAAATCACTGTGACTATTTTTCTTGAATTGTTTAGAATCTCAAGTACATTAAATAGAAAGCAAGATAGCAGGTATCTTTGTCTCATTCTTAGACTCCAAGGGAAAGCTTTCACCATTAAGAAGGATGTTTTCTCTAAGAATTTCATGGATACCTTCATGTGACTAAGAAATTTCCCTTCTTTTTTCTTTTTTCCCCCATAAGTTCCTTATTTGTCTTTGCTGAATGGGTGAATTATATGAAATGTCTTTTCTCTGTCTATTGAGGTGATAATATATGGTGATTCTACTTCATTCTGTTAAGGTGCTAAATTATGTTGCTTTTCAAATGTTAAAACTACCCTGCATTCTGGGGATAATCTCATTTACGTGATATGTTATTCTTTTCATATATTACAGGATTTATTAATTTTTATATTTCTACATATGTGTTTATCAGTGAGAGTAACCTATAAAATTCCTCTTTCTTTAATGTCCTTGTAGAGTTTCAGTATCTATTTTTGCTTACTTCATAAAGTAAATTGTTCCAACCTTTATCTATTCTCTGAAGATTTTGTATAAGATTGTTTTTTTCCCCTTAAATAGCTGATAGAACACAGAGAGGCATCCAGTTGTCTATTGGAAAGATTTGTAATAATGGGTTCAATTTATTTACTAGATTCAGAGCCCTTCAGAATGCCTATTATTTCCCTGGCAAAGTTGGTAAATTGTATGTTACTAAGAATTTGTTTCATCTAAATTTTCAAGTTTCTAAATTCCACATGAAATCCTTTTATTATCTTTTTAATGTCTGCAGGATTTATAGTGACTCAACTTTCATCCCTGAGTTGTTTTCTCTCTGTCTCTCTGATCGAAATGGAAAAGTAAATGTACCATGTTTATACAAGGAAAAGTAAATGTGGCAATAAGACACATAATGGATAATAATCTAGAATTACATGCAACAACATGCAATGGGTGAATCACACAAACAATATTAAGCGAGAGAATTCAGATGCAAAAGACTGTACACTGTATGATTGCATTAATATAAAATAAAAAAGATTGCCAAACCAATCTTTGCTGTTAGAAATTTGGAGAATGATCATCCTTGGTGAGCGAGAAAGAGAAGTGAAGAGAGCCTGACGATGCAAGTTGGGATGCTAGTGATGTCCTATTTCTTCTTTTGGGTACTAATTAAATAAATAGACATGTCCAGATTCTGAATATTCATCCAGCAGTACATGTAGGCTACGTGTGCTTTTAGGTGTGCAGATTATACATCAAAGAGGTTACTTTTTAAAAAGTTAGGAGGACTTCTGCTTTTCTGCTCCAAAATGTAAAGGACTTGTAAGTCATCACTCCTGTCCTCACAGCAAGAAAAACGCTAAACTGAAAACAACTCTTCTTATATCCTTCAGAGAATTAAGGTCACAGAGCAGATTTCCAGACGTACTGTTGTCCACCTGCCCTCAAGGGGAAACTAACTTCCCAGAGAATAATCAATGTGAAGGAAGGAAAACACCCAACCCCCTCTAGCCCTCCTGTGTCACCTAAAGCTAGTGGTGAGAGGGGACCTGAGAAGAACTGGTGCAGGCCATAGGCCAGGGTCACAGGCAAACTGAAAGACTAACACCTAATCATACTAGGCTAAAATGCTTCCCCACCCCTACACTTCCACCACATCAACAAAGCTCCTGTAGAAAAAGAGGATTATAGCTGGGGGAAAAAAGTGTCACCTCGATTGATCAGAAAAAGTATCTGACAAAATTCAACACCCTTTCATAGTAAAAACATTAAAAACAAAGCAAAACAAAACAGAAAAACAAAACCAAACCCTGAAAGTTGTATCTTCCATGCGTCTACTGCTGTTGGACGGAGATCTCCAGATCAACCACATCAAGTTGATGCACACGGGCCACTTAGCAACTGAGAGGCCAGGGCTCAGACATTCCCTTTTTTATTAATCATAACCTCAGGATGCATGGGACAGAGAAATCTTTTTCTCCACCTGGTCAAGTCTGAATTTCCTTCAAGACTATAGAGTTTTTGCAATGAGTTACACATCTATACATTAGAGCATCTGCAAGTGTTTTGCTTCCAACTTTTGGCATTGGAGGGAAAAAATGGACACCTTTGGGGATCAGTCAGAGCCACAGGTGCTATCAAGAGGTTGTTCACAAGGTATGAAATAATACAATCTCTCTTCTTTCCCTCAAGGATTTAGATCAAGTTGTTCTCGTCAGCATTTCCAGACATTCCTATATAAATTCATTATAGGAATAATTGTTTCCTATGGACTTCTTCTTATGTATTTTCTAACTGGTGAGATGAAAGTACTTAATAGGACTATGGATGGGTGAAGGGCTAGCCCTCTCTAAAGAGTCTTACAGATGTAGATTTCCTACATAAAATAAAGAGAATCATGCTGTTCCAACTGGATTTCATATTTTGTTTGAAAAGAGTTCCTTTCATTACATACTGTTCTTGGGAACAAGATGACACAATGTTAGCGGTAGGTGGACTAAGAAAACTTCTGAAATAAGTGGAAATAGAAGCCTGGGAACTCAAAGGTTTCAAGCTACCAGTTGGCGTACTGTTGTGCTGATGAGGAACATGGGGGCTAGAGAGATTATACGGTTACCTTGGGGTAAGAGAAACATCCAGTGATGTGCCAGCAATCAGGAAGAGCAAAGTGGACTGAATTACTGTAATTTAAAGAAAAAAACGTAAGGAATAGAAGAAGACTATCTACACATAGGAAGGAATCCAGACACCAAACACTGGGAAGTCAATAAGCCTATGTTCCTTCATTACTGTAAAAACAGGCACGCTTCTTTCAATATAAATCAAAACATGCCTTCACGTTCAAATGTTATGAATGATATTAATAAACTTGGTAATTTTTTTTCTTCTCCAAAAGATGAGTAATAAATATTAGCTTTGCTCTGTACAATTTCTGTTCTGAGACCAGCAAAGAGCCTAAATGACCTTAAGCTCTGTCAAAATGATCATGAAAAGTATGCTGTCAAACTTACACTGAGAAAATCAGATTGTAATTTATGGACTCAGAAGTAATGAGCTGGTCGTTTACATTTTAAAAAGTACTTTAAAAAATCAATGAGTAGAAAAATGTTTCTTATTTCTTCTATTGCATTTTTATTGTGAATTATACTTTTCTTCTATTGCATTTTTACAATGAAACAAACACAAAATATGGATATAATGTAAATGAACTGTTATTACCACCTCCCAGGAGTCCCCTGCATATCTATACTGACGCTAAACAACTCCTTTCCCCCAGTGGTACCAACATCCTTGTTATTACAGAAATATTTTATTTTATTTTATTACTTTGCTTTATTGCACTTCACAGATATTGCATTTTTCACAAATTGAATATTTATGGCAACCCTGCACCTACTGGTGCCGTTTTCCCAAAAGCCTTTGTTCACTTTGGGTCTCTGTTCACATTTTGTTAATTCTCTCAATATTTCAAACATTTTGTATTTGTTATGGTGATCTGTGATCAATGTTCTTTAATGTTACCACTGCAATTGTTTTGTGGTGCCATATACCATACCCACGTAAGACAGCAAACTTAACTGATAAACACTGTGTGTGTTCTGACTGCTCCACCGACTGGCCGCTCCCCCATCTCTCTCCCTCTCCTTGAGCCTCCCTATTCCCTAAGACACAATATTAAAATTAAGAGGCCAACTAATAACCCTACAATGGCCTTTTAAGTGTCCAAGTGAAAGGAAGAGTCTGACTTTAAATCAGAAGCTAGACATGATTATGCTTGGTGAGGAAGCCATGTCAAAATCTGAAGTAGGCCGAAAGCTAGGCTTCCTGCACCAAAGTTAGCCAAGTTGTGAATGCAAAAGAAGAAAACCCCTTGAAGGAAATTAATAGTGCTGCTCCAGTGAACACATGAATGACAGTAAAGCGAAACAGACTTATTGGGGATGTGGAGAAAATTTTAGTGGTCTGGAGAGATGATCAAACCAGCTACAATATTCCCTCAAGCCAAAGCCCAATCCAGAATAAGGGCTTCTCTTCAATTCTATGAAGGCTGAGACAGGTAAAGCAGATACATAAGAAAAGTTTGAAGCTAGCAGAGGTTGTTTCATGAGGTTTAAGAAAAGAAGGTGTCTCCGTAATGTCAACAGAAATAATAAGTAATCTATAAAAGGAATAGAAAAGAGTTTTATTTAAGCCAAACTGAGACTATAGCCAGGGAGATACAGACTCGAGAAGCAATTGAATCATGTTCCACCAGACTACAAAATGGGGGAGACTTATAAAGGCAGAACCTCACAAATCACATAAATTGTTAAGAATTAGGATTAAAGTTGGCAAGAATAAGAGCGCTTGTTAAGCAAGGATTGTTTGGGGTCCAAAACAGTTGCATAGTTTTCAACAGTTTTGTATATTGTCAGAGCAAAGAACATCAAACGTGACAGGGGTACATTCTTTCGAGGTTTCAAAAAGACACATCAGCACATACACAGTGAGTCAGTACAGCCGTGGTGCCTGGGAAGGGAGGCTTATCACTGAGGGAGTGCTAGCAGGGATATCCTAGGAAGGGAGGCATTTATCTCTATCTTCAGAATGGACACCCTTTACTTCTGGACAATGTACTCTTTTCTACAGTGATTAAAACAGAAATGTACAATGTATGTTTGACAGGCCACAAACAGGCTGTTCTAGTTAGCATAAAATTCAAGTTAAATCATAGATAAAATAGAATGATTTCCCCATACTTCAATCTGTGGAAATTTCTTCCATCAATAATATAAAAGTGGTGAAGTAGCAAATGCTGATGCAGAAGTTGCAACAAGTTATCCAGAAGATCGAGCTAAGATAATTAATGAAGGTGGCTACACTAAACAACACATTTTCAACATAGATGAAACAGCCTTATATTGGGAGAAGATGCCATCTAAGACTTTCATAGCTAGAAAGAAATGAATGCCTGGCTCACAGCTTGAAAGGACAGGCTGATTCTCTTGCTTGGGGCTAATGCAGCTGGTGACTTTAAGTTAAAGCCAAATGCTCACTTACCATTCCCAAAATTTTAAAGCCCTTAAGAATAATGCTAATTCCACTCTGCCTGTGCACTATAAAAGGAACAAAGCCTTGATGACAGCACATCTATTTATAATGTGGTTTACTCAATATTTTAAGTGCACTGTTAAGATCTACTGCTCAAAATATTACTGCTGTTTGACAATACACCTGGTCACTCAAGAGCTCTGATGGAGATATGCAATGAGATTAATGTTATTTTTATGCCTGCTAACACAACATCCAATCTGCAGCCCAAGGATCAAGGAATAATTTTGATTTTCAAGTCTTATTATTTCAAAAATATAATTCATAAGGCTGTAGCTGCCACAGACAGTGATTCCTCCGATGGATCTGGACAAAGTCAATTAAACACCTCTGGAAAGGATTCACCATTCTAGATACCATTAAGGACATTTGTAATTCATGGGAAGAGGTCAAAATATCAACATTAACAGACATCTGGAAGTTGATTCCAACCCTCATAGATGACTTTGAGGGGTTCAAGACTTCACTGGAGTTAGGTACCTGCTCAAAGGGTTGAAACAGCAAGAGAACTAGAATCAGAAGTGGATCCTAAAGGTGTGACTGAATTGCTGCATTAAGATAAAACTCTAGTGGGCAAGGAGTTGTGTCTTACAGATGGGCAAAGAAAGTGGTTTCTTGAGATGAGATCTACTCCTGCTGAAGATGCAGTAGAGATTTTTGAAGTGACAACAAAGGATTTAGAATATTACATAAACTTAGTTGATAAGGCAGTGACAGTGGCAGAGTTTTGAAAGAAGTTTTACTGTAGTGTAGATAAAATCCTATTAAGCAGCATTGTGTGCTACAGAGAAACTGTTCGCAAAAGGAAGAGTCGAACCACGCAGCAAACTTCACTGTTGTTTTAAGAAATTGACACAGCCACCCAACCTTCAGCAACCACCACCTTGATCAGTCAGTAGCCATCAACATCAAGGCAAGACTCTCCACAAGCAAAAAGATTATGACTCAGTAAAGGCTCAGATGATAGCACTTTTTAGCAATAAAGTATTTTTAAATTAAGGCATGTACTTTTTTTTAGACACAATGTTACTGCACATTTAATAAACCAGTCAACTTTTATAGGCACTGGGAAACCAGAAAATTTGTGTGACACACGTTATTGTGATATTGACTTTATTGTGGAGGTCTGGAACTGAACCCACAATATTTCTGAGCTTTGCCTGTACTGGGATCACTTCCTTGTCTTTATGCATTTATTACATTTTTTTGCATACCTGAAGTATAGACTGACTTTGCCTGATTTTTTCTGCTATACAATTAGAAACACAGTATGTATTCTGTTGCATCCATCTTCTTTCCCTCAATATTAAGCACTTAAGATTCATGTTCAGAGTTCTAAATTATCCCTCTCTATTACAGTATCACTTATCTCTTCTATTGTTGGTAGATATTTGAGTTGTTTCCATTTTTGGAAGTCACAAAAAAAATTCAACAATACTTCAATAAAAAAAATTCTGCTGTGACATTCTTGGGTATGTATCCTTGTTATAATTAGTGTGCATTTATGTACAATACAAAGCAAGGAGTGGAAACGCTAGAAGAAAGGGTATGCTTAATATCTTTAACTTTATTATATATTGCCATTTTTTCCATAAAGTTAATAAATCATTGACAGTCCCACAATGTTCCTATAAATTCATATACTTATTGACAGTTAATATTGTCAGATATTTAATTTGAGTCTTCTGGTGTGTGTGGTGGTGATTGTAATGTTAGTTTCCCTAGTCTTCTCTTTAGTTCTGCCCCAAGCCAAGATGTATAAATGTAGCAGGGGTTCAAATATAACATTTGTTTCTGGATTCCTACATAAAAGTTTGTAAGGCATACATATCTTCCATTTCACTTGTTAATTTAAGCACACAAGCCAATGGTGTGGTCAGGGCACAGTGCTACTTCTCAGGGACCACACAGAGTCCAACCCTCTTGCTCTCCTTTAAGATACGTTCTTTCCTCCAAATGATTAAGCAACCTCAAGTACTTCTGAGAGAGCACAAAATCCTCACTATGCCTAATCATGGGCTGGGTTCTTCCATATTATTTGCTGTCTTTCCCGTATCTTGTATTTGAATCCTGAGAGAGTTCAAGTTTTGTTTCCTTCTTTCTATTTAACCTAAAATATCATGGGTATCTTCTGGCTTAATTTTAAATGCAAGAGTTATCTGAATAATGGACCAAGCTGAAGGGAGACCTCACTGGTAATTTATTATATTATCATCATATACGGGTACAGAAATAATCAATAAAGAACCTATAATAGGAATAAAAAAGTTTTGGCTTAAGCCAAACTGAGGACTACAGCTGGGGAGACAAAGATTCAAAAAGCATTTGAATTGTGTACCACCAGACTACATAAAGTGGGGAAGCTTATAAAGGCAAAAACTGCAAAATTACATAAACTGTTTGTAAAGAATTAGGATTAGAGCTGGCAGGGAGTAGGAGTGCTTGTTAAGGAAAGACTGATTGGTGTCCAAAATCGTTGCATCGTTACAAGGGGAGACCTTGAGCATAGGGCTGCAGTTGGCAGCTTTTAGCAGATATTATCTTGAGAACAGCTGACAGTCTCTCTGAGTCTGATAGCGTTCAGAAAATTCAAGTTCTCAGTGACACAGGGACGTGTCTGAAACCACATTCACAATGGTCACCTGGCTCCATTTTGGATGCCTGAACCACAGTTACTCCCCTTTGATTTTTAAATGCATTCTTTTCTTTAATGGTTGAAGTAGATGTATTATACATGTTTAATATGCCACCGAACAGGCTGTTCTAGTTAGCAAAAAGTTTAAGTTAGATCCTGCATAAGCCAGAATGACCTTCCCATACCTCAATATGTGACAATTTCTTCCATCACATGAAATTCACCAATGGCGGTAATGAAGAGATTGCGGTGACCTACAAACAAGTGTAAAGTGAATATACTTGATGTCTTAACTGAGGAAAATGAAGCTACAGAAAGTAATTATGAAAAGTAAAGAAAGTATTAAAACGCATCTGCATATTCTGGATCATTAAGTAAAGAAAAAAAGGAAATTGATTAACATTTCAGAGGCTACTCATTACAAACAGTATGATTAATTTCTAAAAGAGCAAGTGACTGTAACACCAATATATATGTTGATAATTTACATTTGTAGTGTTATAAATAGGAAATCAATACTCATCGTTTGTTTCCACTTAGATTATCTTACTCAGAAAAATTTGATTTATTTGTGTGCTAATTATATATATTAAATATAGGCCTGTTAAATTTTTGTCTAGTACTTACGTATATTAATTGCCATTCCGGTGATTAGGATTTTTACAGATGATTATCCAGTCAAATCTTAATATTATAATAACTCTACTCTGGTTACCCTTGGAAAATCTGTCCCTAAATTAATATTACAAAACATACACATGATTTTCACCAGCTCATTTTTATATTTAATAATGTCCGACTGGACAGATGCATGTAAGTCAGTGAAGTTAGAGTATTCTCTCACACCATACACAAAAATAAACTCAAAATGGCTTAAAGACTTAAACATAAGACAAGACACAATAAATCTCCTAGAAGAAAACATACGCAAAATATTATTTCACATACATCTCAGCAATGTTCTCCTAGAGCAGTCTACGCAAGCAATAGAAATAAAAGCAAAAATAAACAATCGGATCTAATTAAACTTAGAAGCTTTTGCACAGCAAAGAAAACCATAAGCAAAACAACAACCTACCAGGATGGGAGAAAATATTTGTAAAAGATGAAATTGACAAGGATTTGATTTCCAGAATATATAAACAGCTCATACAGCTTCATAAGAAAAAAACAAACAACCCAATCTAAAAATGGGCAGAGCTAAACAAGCAATTCTCCAGTGAAGACATACGAATGGCCTATAGGCACATGAAAAAATGCTGAGTATCACTAATCATCAGAGAAATGCAAATCAAGAATACAATGAGGTATTACTTCACACCAGTTAGAATGGCCATCATTCAAAAGTCCACAATCGATAAATGCTGGAGAGGGTGTGGAGAAAAGGGAAACCTCCCTACACTGTTGGTGGAAATGTAGTTTGGTGCAGCCATTGTGGAAAACAGTACGGAGATTCCTCAAAAGACTGAAAACAGACTTACCATATGATCCAACAATCCCACTTCTGGGCATATATCTACAGGGAGCCTTAATTCAAAGAGACACCTACACCCCAGTGTTCACTGCAGCACTATTTACAATAGCCAAAACATGGAAACAACCTAAATGTCTACCAACAGATGACTGGATAAAGAAGTTGTGGTATATTTATACAATGGAATACCACTCTGCCATAAAAATGATAAAATGCCATTTCCAGCAACACGGATAGCTCTGGAGAATGTCATTCTAAGTGAAGTAAACCAGAAACACAAAGAAAAATATATCACTCATATGTGGAATCTTAAAAAAAAAAAGACAAATTAACATATATAAAATAGAAACAGACTCACATAGAAAACAAACTTAATGGTTACCAGCGGGTAGGGAGGGTGGGAAGGGATAAACTGGGAGTTCAAGATTTGCAGATACCGATTGGTATATATAAAATAGATAAACAAGTTTATACTGTATAGCACAGGAACTATATTCAATATCTTGTAGTAGCTTACAGTGAAAAAGGATATGAAAATGAATATATGTATGTTCATGTATGACTGAAGCATTGTGCTGTACACCAGAAATTGACACAACATAGTAAACTGCCTCAATTAAAAAAAAACAAAAGAACAGAATCATTGTAAATATTCAGGTATTTTTGTACTTATTTGGATGAGGCTAAACTTGATTAAAGTAAACTTCCTCTTCCATGGAGTAACTTAAAAACATTAAAACAAACAAACAAATACCTTTTTTTAAATGAAAAAAAAATTCAGTCCGTGTTGAATGCGTCTTAATGTGAAGTATTAGGCTGATTTCACTTCACTTCTACAGTTACTAAACGTACCTTAACAGGATTTATTGACGAAACCAATCCATTCCTGGCAGTAAAACTTAACTTTTCACGTACATTATCAACAGGCAGCAGCTACCTTTGAGGACACTACCCTGTAACCCCTGCCCTCAGGAGCTCACATCCAGCCTCGGGGCTTGTACTTGGGCGCTTCACAGTATGGTGCACTCACAGGCCTGAGGCTTCGGGCAGCCCCGACTTTCGGATTCCCCTTCTCAGAATTCTTGGCACAGACCAACCACCAGGACTCTAGACCACCAGGACGTGCACAAGATACCCTCTTCGCAGTTTCCCTGCCAGCGATACACGTCCTTGCCTTGTGACTCCTGGTAACGAGTTAAACTCTCTGTCAAGCCCAGGATTGTCCCCAGCCTGCTCTCCTTCTAGCAGGGCTTCTGAGCTTCCGACTACTTTTCCCACAAGCCACCGCGGCCGCGGCCGTTAAAGCTCGAACTACATTTCCCAGAGGGCAGCGGTCACACTGGATCCTTGTGTTCCTTTCCGTTTTAGAGCGCGGCTCTCGCGCTTTGCAAGGTGAGTTTAACTCATCTCAGGATGTTAACAGGCACAGGGAGACTGCAGGCTGGCATCTGGGCAACGGAATTAATCGGAATCCGGCCTGAACCAATAGGGGTGGTAGAGGACGTGTTTACAGCATGGAAGCTTTTGATATAGCCACTTGCTACCGGAATCTCAGGCTTGGGGGTTCCTAAACCGCAGTGGAGGGTTCTCTGTGCACGGACAGATGGGGAGTGGGTGGGAGTGTACGTGTGTGACACTTTGAGAGCCGGCGGGCTGGGATGTGCCTTCGTGTGGGTAGTTACTGTTGTGAGGCTGTGACAGATGTGTGGCTGTGCTGGTGTGACGAGAATTTTGTTGCAGATCCTTAACCTGTGCTGCAATTGCTCGGGCTCTGTAGTGTCACCGTGGTGTCAAGGAAACTCTAGGTCCCCTGATGCTTCCTCCGTCTTCTTTCCTCACAGTTGCTTGCGGTTACCACATAGAAATAGCTGGAAGACAAAGAGTCGGAGGTTGGGAACGCCTGAGAAGTTCTTTCCTTGGGAGCTCCGAGGGGCAGCTACAGGTTTTAAAACCTGGTCTTTCCCAAAGCTCTGACCTCAGGAACTTAACTGTAAACTCAAATAGAGGCCAGGTTCCACCCTATTTTCTGTTTTGTTTGTGAGCAGGATTTGTGCGGAATTGGAGAGCGTTGTATAACAAAGTAATTATGTGCTCCAGGAAGAGTCTGGCGTCCTGTGACTCCCTACTTGGTGCTGTCATTCCCCAAAAGGAGGACCCTGATGAGGAGGAAAGAATTATTTTACAACCAAAGATCAATGTTTGCGCTAGTTGTTTTTTTTTCTTTCATAACATTATTGGTTTAAGGGCATATTTTCCTTCCTCTGCAGTGTTCTAATCGTAATTTGTTTTCTTTCCAGTAGGTGTTGAGTGCCATTGAGGTGAATCATGGATTCTCATATTCATTGGGTATATCATTCAAATCTATGTATTCTCTTATTGTAAACAGAACCCCAAAAGATTTAGATCCTTTGGTCTAGAATCAAGGACAACAATTTTCCATGTGAAAAGTTGGTGTTCAAGATTATGGAAATGTTTAAGTGATTAATCCGTATGGCTGAATATTATGCAGCTAATAAAGTTATACAGAGTTAGACCTAAGAAAGAAAATGTATACTATGTCCTGTTAAGCAATATTAATCAACAATAATATATCCAGGAAAATTTTGAATTATATATTAATTCCAACCTAGGGTCATATTTTGAGAATTTTATAAATTTATAAATTTTGTATACAAAATATTTTGTTTATTGAAGAAAGGCAGTGGTACTGCTACATTTATTGAGCATTTATTATGTTCCAAACACTTTTCTACTTTTCATACATTCTCTCATTCAGTCTGTAAGTGCCACTTACCTGTACTGTGTTCCCAGTAGAATCTTGGCAATGAAAGTGTTTATATTGGGGAGATAAAAGTAAAGGATATTGAAAGTGTTTATATTGAGGAAATATAACTAAAGGATGCACTGTACATGTAATTTGTTTCACTTTTGTTTCCCCGTGTCATGCATAGGATTCTGGTTTCGTAAATACAAGAATGAGCACCTTGTTCTATATTTTTTCTTTATGAATTACATTTGTCATATATTGAAATGCCCTTTGAAATGTTTTGGAATATATTATATTCTGGTGATGGGATTAATGAAGGCTTGTTGCAAAAATGCAACATCCTAAGGAATTTATAATAAAGAAATATAAAGTATTCTTATTCCCACCACCCAGAGATACACTATTAATTTTTTTCATTTTTCCCATCAAGTATATATGTATTGTTTTGTTTTTGAATCATAAGATCACATTAAGTTAATATTAAGAGTCAAACCATAAAGAAACAAGAATCAATTTTAAGTTTGTAAAAGGAATCCATGAGTTTCATTATATATTTGTGAATGTAAGGGGAAGAAGGAAGCGACAATTTGTTTGAAAAACCTTCCAGATATTTACACCTTTTAGATAATAGAAATATCATTAATATTAGTTACCAGGGCAGCAAGTATCAATAAGACAATCATTCAGAATTAGAGTTTTAAAAAGAGATCTAGAGTTAGTTGTATAAAACTTTGCAATAACAACTGATTTTTAGATGTCTTCCAAATAACATTTCCAATTATGGATTGTAATAAAAGAAAAGAACTAATAATTTTATTCAGATTTCTTTCTTTTACAGATAAAGTATATTAAGCTTCTTATTAATGTTTCCACTTTATGAGCTACTTGATCAGATCAAGTTCTTTGAGCAAGTTGTGATTCAAAAAACTCTTTTTGCTGCTGGGGTTGGGGGAAAGGGAAAAGTCCTCCTCTTCTTTGTTAGAAACTTTTTTTTCCGTTAGAAACTCTTATTAATAAGAAATGCATTCTCAAACCAAGTCTTCTTTTTTTTTTTTTTGGTGAATGTTACAAGAGCAGTGCTGAGAAGCACAATTTTACTCTAAAAAGAAGAACTGGAATTGTTTCTTTTATGATAATTAGGACACATGAAATCTTTAATAAAAATAGCTAACATATAGTATTGGACACTAAGTTTTTATACAGATTATCTTTCTCCAAGAGTTATATTTAGCAGGTCTTCATATTCTTGATTTTACTGGAAAAACCAAGACACTAAGATGTCATGAACTCTGAGCAATTTTTGCAATTCTAATATCTGACAACAGACTGTATGTTTTAAATTTCAACAGGATACCACTCCTAAATTATTATTTTAAGCCTGGACCAATATCATGATTAATAATGGTGTACATGCCCCACCATACAGCAGAATCAAATTAATTAATCTGTTACGTACTGTTAGATTTTTATGTTCCTAATTTGCGGTCATCAAAAATTATGTGAACATCCTTATACATGCATTCTTTAGTATTTCTATAGATATTTAATTAATATAAATTCCTAGGATTAGAATTTGGGTTGAAACAATCAGGTTTTTACTAAGTACTTACGAAATGCCAGCCCATATAATCTTAGTATTTATGTCACAAATGACATAGCTGATGCTTTTATGTTCCTTCTAGTAAGTTAGGTAAACCCTGAATAGGAATAAATGCATCAAAGGCCATTAAGGAAATTCAGGGAATGTGAGCTGGGGTTTTATACAGCAGTGACATCATTGTGACTGTAGCCACTCCTGTTGGGTTATGACTAAATTATGCTGACATATGAAAGCACTGAGGAAGGAATTTCTGCTGTAAATTTTCAACTATACAATACTTACTGTAGTCACCATACTTTTTAAAAATATTTTTAAATTGATACAGTTCACGACCATAAAATTCACCTTTTGAAAAGTATATAATTCAGTAGTTTTTAATTTAGTCACAAGGTTGTGTGAACAGCACCACTATCTATTTCCAAAACACTTTAATCGCCCTAAAGAAAAACCCCATACTCAATAGCTGCCACTTCCTATTCTCTCCTCCTATACTCTGACAACCAGTGATGGACCTTCTGTTTCTACAGATTTGCTTATTCTTGAAATTCCATGCAGTGTTCCCTTTCATGTCTTGCTTCTTTCACTTAACATGATGTTTTTAAGTTCCTCCATGTTGTAGATGTGTAAGTACTTCATTCTTTTTTAAAAATGTGGTCAAGTATACATAATATAAAACAACATTTTAAACTGTACTGTGGCGTTGAGTATATTCATGTTGTCAGGCATCCATCACTACCATCCATCTCCAGAATGTTTTCATCTTCCTATACTGAGACTATACCCATTAAACATTAACTTCCTATTCCTGTCTCCCACCCGAGTCTCTGGCATCTACTTTCTGTCTCTATCAATTTGACTACTCCAAGAATCTCGTATAAGAGGAATTGTACAATATGGGTCCTTTCATGGACAGCTTATTACACTTAGCATAAATGTCTTCAAGGTTCATCCATGTGTAGCCTGCAAAATAACCTACATACACTACATTGTCTGTATCCATCAGCCGATGGACAGTTTGGTTGCTCCCACTTTTGGCTGTTACAAATACGGACATTTGTGTACAACTTTTTGTGTGAAATGTGTTTTTTTCTGTTCTCTTGGGTATTTACCTAAGGGCAGAATTGCTGGGTCACAAGGTAACTCCTACATTACATCTTTTACTCTGATGACGTTAGATGCTAAGTGAGACTAAAAGGATAAGATAATTCAGCAGCTTTCTAGGGAATGTGAATAACAGGGTGGGAAATAGTTCTGTAAAGAAAACTTGCAAAGGATGTAGCAGTGAAACCAGAGCAATATGTGTTAGACTATATTCACAGGCTTCACCCATCTTTCTAGACAGTAAGCCAACAATGAGCATTCATAGACAGAGGAAGCTCTCTTACTTACTAACTGGAGGAAACAAAAATCATTTAGTAAAACAGTCCAAATTTAGTGTGTTTCTCCAAGACCAAATAAACACTTTAAAAGAATGAACTTTCCACATTTTGGAATATAGTTTCTACTTAACAAATAACAAATAATGTATATTTGTACATATATTTTAAGACATAGCCACTGACTCAAAAATTTTATATTTGAAAAAAAAACTCATCAAGATCAAAAGAAAAATACATGGTATACATACACCCAGTGAAATATTCACCCATAAAAAAGCAGGAAATCTTTGCTTTGTGAGAACACAGATGGAACTTGAGGGCTTAATGGTAAGTGAAATAAATCAGAGAAAGACACCCTTATGTGAAATCTTAAAAAATAAACAACTGAACTCACAGATGCAGAGAAGATTGGTGGTTTCCAGAGACAAGGGGTGGTGGGGGGGGTGAAACAGATGAAGGTACTTAAAGGTACAAATTTCCAATTATAAGATAAGTGATGTGGATGTAATGTACAGTATGGTAACTATAGTAAATATTGTATAGTTGAAAGTTACTGAGAAAGCTCTTAAAAGTTCTCATCACAAGAAAAAAATTACATATGTGATGAATGTCAACTAGACACATGGTGATTATTTCACAATTTATTCAAATATGGAGTCACTGTTGTACATTTGAAATATGTCAATTATATATCTCAGTTTTTTTAACTTGTAAGTTTCAGGTCTAAGTCTAATGCAACAATATCTCAAACTTAAACTAGATATTGAAGCATGACCTTCTTGAGGTTGTTTTCGGTATGTTTTTTCAGCTGTGTTTTCTATTTGATCCCTAAGGTGAAGTTTTGAGATTTAATTACTGTCAGATAACATAACAATATCCTGGGATAAATTAATGAATGAATTAAAAACATATGCACAAGCTTTGGACAAGACTAGCTCTTTGAGCATCGCCTTTCTTTTTTCATCAGTACTATGAAATGCTTATGTCAAAGGAAATCTTTTTTTCAAATATCTGTCATTGAAACAGAAACCTTTCTCCCCTATGTAGGCAATTGTTGCTACTTTCCAAGAAAAATAAACAAAAGAAAAAGATAAGCACTGTTAATATATGAGTTTATAACTTTTCCAAAGTTTTTTCTTTTCTACTTAAGTAAGATGATCTGTCAGTCTTTCAATACTGAGATATGCAAACATTTCACAGATAGTATCATGGTGTAAATATGGTCTCTTAAATCTGATTTATCTACTGACAGTATTTCTGGAATATTTTTCCATGACTTAATTATTTTCCCTGACTTCACATTTATTACTTGGATATTTTGTGTTGTATTTAAGCAGTTTTTCCTGGAATTGGAATGTTGACTCTGCCTAATTGTCTTTTCTGACCTGTATACCCTTTCTAACCTGTTCA